TTTTTTTTTTTTTTTTTTTTTTAACAAACAGCCCAAATGAGGGAACTAGCCTGACAATGCTGCAGTTCGCAAAAGAAAGAGAAAATAGAAACTGGACAAACACTGCTGCAACTTGCCGAAAGAAAGGGACTTTAGCTTCCACTACATGGGGCATCTTCATGCCATTGTGGAAGGCAGCCGAGTCATGAGGCGCATAAGCTACCGCTCTCCTTAAACCCTAAACCCCACTGTCCCATGTGTCCTGGAGACCGCCTCCCTATTTTCTTAAAACTCTGGCTCTTATGTACCTTCTATGCTGAGTTTGTGTCCACCAGCTGTTCTGTGATCGCGCTGTTTCTAACGAGACAAGGTCTATTGTATTGTCTCTCCCTTGCTGTTCGTCCCGCCGCTTCCATATCAGTCTTGGGGGATCACCTTGTACAGTGCCGAGTTTGCCCATTCCGGCCCTGTCCTTGATGAATTTGTCTATGATTATTTGCTTTTTTGTGGGGTCTTGTTTGATATTCTTTGGTTGCTCGGTGCCAATCCGCCCGCCTGGTATTCCGTGCACTAGGCTTTGTAATACATGCTCCCAGGCCTCCCGGGTTGATGTATTTTGGCCGGCTATCGTTTGTTTGCATCATGTCTTCCATATGATCCACAAGGTAAAGGGGCGAAGTCTTCCGAAGAGGGTTGAATGTCAGGCTGCTCGGAAACGTGGCTGCGCGAGACCCGTTAGGAGTGTCGGCAGGTTATTTGCCAGTGATGTGCCGACAATTGCCGAGCAGTACGCAGTGCCACGCGTTCTGTGCCAAATCTTTTGTGCATTTGGGCACTTTATATATTTTTTATATGCCGGAAATCGGGTCCGGCGTCTCTTACATTTATGCCACGTCGTTTCGGCTGGGCGGGGCACTCCCAGCCAAGCCCATCCCAACCGCGGCCAGAAAAAGGTCATCGTCATCGTGGCTGGTTCAACTTACGGAAAATCTAACCAAATCCAACAAAGGAGGTCTTTGAATCTCTAGCTGTACGTCTATGATCTATCGGTTCTCGCCTTTTTTTTTTTTTTTTTTTTTTTTGGTTTTTTTTATCTTAGTCTCGCCTCTTTCCTAAAAACTCCATTATAGGCCATCCATCTAAGTCTATCCTGTAACAAAACCATCCTTGTCCTTCATGCCTCTCCCCATAAACCCATGAAAGGACTATACAAACAAGGATTCCGAAGAAAAGCGCAGTCTTGGTGGGAGGTCCGGTGGTGCTTCCTTTCTTACCAGCGCCGAGAAGGGCCCCCATCTGCACCCAAACCAATTCATGGCTTTAGCTGGAAACCCCTTTTTTAAAGCTTTTTTGGACACGGTATTCCCAACCCGCCAGTATAGCAACACTCTTGCATTGGCTGCAAAATGTTTTTTGTCTTTTTTCTTTCAAGAACGAGGGCGACAGCCTTGTGGTGTCTCCTTGTCAAACGGACCGCCTCGATGCATCAGCAGGAGATTCGCACTCAGATCTGTTGATCATTAGTTACATGGGTGTACCATTCCATTCAGCAACATGGGTAGGGTCAACCGGACTCTTTGGTCACGCTTAATTACACGACCACCGTCTTCACCCGAATAGAACGAGTTAGTATCACTCTGTCTGGATGGATTTTTATTGTTTTATTTTTCTTTTGAAGGCTGCGGCCCAGGGTACTAGGAGAGGTGATAAGAGCATCCCCACCTAGTATCCCTCCACCGGTGCCCCGATCTATTGGTGGGGGGCTTCAAGTTCACCTGCTGGAAACTATATGAGTCCAGCATCCCAAAAACATATATGGGTGGTCGTGGTCTCTTTTTTTTTTTTTTTTTTTTTTTTTTAATGGGAACAAGGCTCCAAACTATTTGTGGGTGGTCCTAAGGTTTGAATTTGGAAAGACTAGGGGGTAAAGGGATGGAGGGAGGTTAGCTTGAGCTGATTCGGACTGAGACTCCGACTGAGACCGACTATAAATCTACCTCTTCGCCCCTCCCTTGGGCGCCATATCCACAAGCAAACAAAACTGGTGATTTGAAGTCCGGAGCAGGAAAAAAAAAAAAAAAAAAAAAAAAAAAACACTTCATCTGGACAGAAACCTGCGTCAAATGCAGCCATAATGACCAGGCATTCTATTTGGGTGGAGACCACAGGGCGCAGGCTCCACTGTCGCTTCGTTTGTGAGCATGAACTCAGTCGTCGGCCAGATTTGCACCGGCCGGGTCTGGGCCTAACTTCCTTGTATGTATCGGTGCTTGGAAGTTCAGCGACCGATGGTAGACACAACAACATACTGCTCTGGCCAAGACAACACGCATGTAGACATAACCACAAGACACATGCATGGAACATTTACGTGACGTCCTCTTGATTTTGAAAGTGCTCGTGCTT